TAACCTCACATTTTGTCGATAAAAGAGGAAAAATTAACAGACTTCTCAAGAGCGTTTAGGATCCCCTTAACGACAATGATTGATTATTATATTCTGTTGCGCGCAACCCGCAATCATCCGATCAGCTATTCAATCTATACGGTAATATTTAATTATATTATTAATTGCACGAGGTGTCGCGTCCGTAATTTACTTGATTAAGTGCGAAGTTCGATAGTCTTCCTTTATTGATGCTGCAAAAGGATGCGCTATCCCATTCCTAGAATGACCACCGATTTTCCAAGTGATTATGCGCGCGAACATGATAGGGATAAGGAGAAGGAAAAAAGTTTTCATCGCGGGAGAGCGACATATCTCATCGACTACATCGGATAAATTCCGATGGTAATGAACGAGGCTTATCTTACGGGCGTTTATCGACTTGGCACTCTTGCCCAAGCGGATTTGCCTAATTAAAGGAACAAGATGTAAACGATTTTATTTCCATCGCGATTCGCGCTATCTACCGACTACTTGGAACGAATAAATGGATTCCACGCTATATATATCTCTTTCTCTTTCTTTCCCTCCGTCTCGTTCGCGGAGTACAACGCGCTTAAACCACCGTGACCAGGTGCACCTGTCAAGTGTTCTGTGCCGTTAGTTTGATTAATGACAGAAAATTTCTTGAATAAACAACAAGGCGCGCTTAAACAGATTGACACTCGGATATACTTGGAAATAGCAACAATTGAGATTTCACATTGAAGATAACTCGCGACTACGTTCGGAAAATGATAATCCGGAGTTAATCATCGTTGATCTAACTTTGAATTTAAATTACCAAAAAAAAGACATGTTCTCTCTAACGAATACGAGGACAATCTTTCATCTAATTTTCTCTCTATAACCGGTTACATTAATATTAATATCTTATTAAATGTAATATAATTGGATATTATATTCGAAAATCTCTCTCTCTCTCTCTCTCTCTCTCTCTCTCTCTCTCTCGCTTTGCGAGTTTATTTTAACGAAAAATGAAAAATATTAAATAAAAGCTAATTAGAGGGACCGTAATCAACATCGATCAGGAGTCGACGAAGTCTTCGGAAGTAAGCCGCGCGAGAGATCAAGTTTGCCCAGGGAGGTGTCTTGTCGAGATTGTCGCGAGTAGAATCATGCAAGCTGTGCCCTCGCTTCGCCCTCACCTCTTGCTACGCCTCACCGCGTTCTGAACCTCTTTGCATATACATTCTGTAAGATTACTTTGTGCGGTTTACACCCTGCGATCCCTTTCCCTCCCTACGGCAGCCTCCTTCAGCAGCAGCAGCAGCAGCACGTTGCTGCGCTTCTCGCAGTCCTCCTCTCGTTGCCAAGAGGCAAACCACCCTCCAAGTTTCATCCAAGGTCCCTAATGTATGCGGAACTATACGGCAGAAATTCCAAGTTCGGCACGGCCGTGTTAGGCGCCTTTACGATGAGTTTCCATCCCTTTTCCGTCCCGTTCCTCCACTCGCTCCTCGCTCGTTCTCCGCCGCACAGAAAGGGACGAGGCTCGCCCGACAAGACTTGCCCTCCGTATAAGAGGCGAACACGCGTGATCCTAATTAGAACGCGTCCTCGAGGTGCCGAAGTAAAAGCGAGCTTCTTGCTAGGCGTCTCGACGAAAGCGCCGTCGGCATCTTACATATATACACGCGCGAGCGCGTTACAAGCGTGACGTTACTCCCGTAAAAGGACTCTTGTTCATCCACCCTACTTTGCCAACATTTCCAAATGAACTCGAGCAACTTAACTTTCGCGACAATTGACGGTATAATTCCGCGAGAACCTCATCCCGCGACAAAACGACCACCGAGACAAGCTTGAAAATACGAAATCTCTTATTATACGGAGCTATAAGATCTCATTATTATTGAAAGAGGGACACTTAACGCGAGAATTTTCACAGCAGATGACAGGTTAGATGGAATGCATTATACTTCAATGATTAAATACGTCTAAGAAAGCTCTCCGTTGAATACTAAGGAGGATTTTCATATACCTACACTGAAAAAAATCAATGTACTTTTACATGGAAATTACTTGTTCAGAATTAGAAAAGTTACTTGCTTATCATTGTAATTTTTTTACATTTGTTTTTAAGTAAAAATACATATTAATGTAAAAATATAGATAAAATTACTATATTTATGCAAAAATTATATGTAATTTTAAATTTACTATTTTTACTTTATTAAAACTTTATTTTATAATTTATCCATTTTATTTATAACATTATTTTATAGCATTTCCTATGTGTAATTCCATGTTCAGTGAAATATTTTTAATCTTGAAAATATCAATACATCAACGAGTAATAAAAAAAAAATTAATTGAAAGCGATCGTTGATCGTTTAGAATTTCGCGTCCAACATCTTTGATCTTTCCGGCGGATTTTCCTGTCAATCATCGCGCGGCGTACTTGTCGCGCATTCGATGACAGTAATCAGCTGTTCGAAGAAAACGGCGACGGGAGACCCTGTATGCTGTTGGATGGCGAACGGCACGCGACACCGCGTTAGACGAAACGGTCATTAGGGATGCAAAGGGCGGACTCGCCCGGCTACGTCGCATGATAATTACCGTAAAGAAAGCCCGACGAGAGAGAGAAAGAGAGATGGTGCGGCTTTCTCACCCACCGGGCTTCCCAGGAGATTACAGGATGTCCGGAGGCGAGAAAGGATTCTCCCAGCGTGGCCCGAAAACCTTTTCCGCGCTTACAAGCAATAAAAATTAACGGCCGGTCCGGTCAAAGCCGCAATATATGAAAGGCGATCCGCTAGAACCGGACTTTGTGGCGTGCGAGTATAATATATAATTATCATAGACCATTCAATGTATATATACACAGCAATAAACAATTTCCCTTTATTACGACAAAGCAGTAGTATAAAAAGAATGTGTCAAAATCTGTCAGCAACCATTAACGTTTTAATTTTTGGTCGCAAAGAGAGTGCAAAAAGTCAGAGTAAACGAATAAATATTTGTATTATGATTTTTTCTTAACTCATAAATTAATTTAATTTAAATTTGTCAATTTGAAAGGCACGAGTGTACAAATTCGGGTATAAGATTCGTATATAGCTATTAGATGCCACAAAATTGTTCTCAAATTCTTGTTTAATTATTTTAACTACAAAATAATTAAAGAGAAATTTAAAAGCAATTTTTTGCATATCTGATATATGTGCCTGATGATGTGCTTATTAGTCTTTTTCGTGCATAAATTCGTATTAATTTAATTTCTCTCAAGTTATTCTATTTTATTCTACAATTATTATTCTTCTTCCTATTTTAATACCAATTAATATCTGACGCAAAGTTTCTGCGTCAACTCGTATCTCCAAAAATCAGCAATTATACTATTACACTAAACCTTTTTTTCCAGTGTATAATTATCGAAAATGAGCGTACGGGAGATATTCGGTTCCTTTAGAAACAACCGAATTATGCGGCAGCCACGCGCGAGTAATCTCGAACGAAGGGAGGAAGTAGAGAGAGCGCTTCCTCCTTCGCGAAGAAGAGCCTTTAAACACGGGAGAGTCGGGGCCTTTAATCGCACGAGAGGCCCCGATAAACATATCGAAATTATGATGAAGGATCGGAGCGCGCATAAGAGTGGAATAAGCGGTACTACATCCTGCCGGCTGTGTCAGCTTTGTTGATCGCGGCGGAAAGGAGAGATCTCGCGACTTCCCTCCATCCTTCTCCTCCCCCACTTTTAATTTTCAGGCGCGGCTAATTATGATTTACAGCAACATCGGCGCAACATCCTGATCGCTACGCAAGATACCGCCCGCAGGATATTCAAATGCGATGAATATTGCTCGCCGCGATAAACGGCGAAAGAAGAAGTCGGAGGAAGAGAGAGCCTGAGTAAAGGAAGAGAGAGAACGTCGCGAGGATACGGAGAAAGGATTCCTAGTAGCCTACTCGGTATGCAAGATGGGCAGTCAGGCTTGTACATCCTTCCTCCGCCTTCTCCAGGGATGTATAAGACGCATCCTCGCGCGTGGATCGTCGTTCCGTGCCGAATCGCTCGTCCGGAGTATTTAAAGCCCGCCGGGGATAATTCAATACGAAGGAACCCTCTCTTTTGTGTGTTTGGAAAACATAAGCGGCCGACGATGTCACAACACGATATCGGCCATGATTTAGCTCCCGCCGAAGGAAGCCAAGGTGTAACGACCGAAGGTGGTAACAATTGACCCCAAAAACGCGCCTCTCAAGTGCAATAGACTTCTGAATTATTTATATCAAATATACACTGGAAAATTTTTGTTGTACTTATTAACAAAAATTCTGTTCGAAAATCAACGGAACAGAATTATTGGTTAAATCGACCAGAATTTCTTTTAATGTGACAAGCATCTTGTTTGCACAACAAACTAGTTGTTTTAATTTATTTAAATTATATTAGATTGTGTTACAATAAAATTATTTTCAGAGAACCTTGAAATATTATTTACATGATGTGTATAAAAAATCTCTTTTCTCTCTCGTCTGTCTCCAAAATTTATTATCTCTCTCTCTCTAGTGGTTTTAAAATTATATTATATTATATTGTATTGAAATAATATGATTTGTATTAATATTATATTATAATACATAATATTATTTATTACATCAAATTTAAAAACCTTGAAATAAAATTTATTATTTGCGACTTAAATCTGTATCGTCCTCTCTTTCTCGTGGTTTTAAAATTATATTATATTAAATATAAATCTAAATCGCAAGAAAGGCGTAAAGAGCCATACGCGGATGTTGCTGCGTACATTTCCAACGAAACTAAGTTTTCCTTGGAAATAAACCGTGCACAAGGCACGTATTATTCTCGGTGTACTACCAAGACTTAAAATTTGAAATAATCTCATACTTGAGATTTAATTTCAAAAACCCCCTAACTCCCCTACGGAAATAAATAAATAAATGCGAGTTTCGATTGCAAACAAAAAAAAATCTAAAAAATCACTTACCTTGTCAACTCGTTTCTTAGCAGGACTAGTCGTGTCGTTAGGCCTGGCAGGAAGATCGGTTTCACTGGCCATCCGATTAAAGCGTTGCATCCGCTCGCGAACGCTCAACTGCTCGGCCGAGACAGCATTTGTCATCGTGACCGTTTCATCTTCCTGTAATTCAATAATTTCGATCTTTTTTTGTCGACCTTCACGAAACAGTCCCAAGTTTTGTGTTAATAATTGTCAAGAACACGTGATCAGTGACAGATGATTCCGAAGAAAATCAGTCTTCGAAAAGTAAACAAATTATTAGATAAATAGATAATCTCGATAAAAAAACGATACCTATACTATATTAATAAAATAGCAGAAACTTTGTATGTAAATTAAAAAAAAATCTACAAATTAAAAAAAAATGTTTTAAATGTTTTCGTAGACAGAGAAATTTTTTTTTAGAATTTATCGTAAAATCATGGTAATCGTGGAACAATATGGTATTGGGAAAATTTTATGAGTTTCTCCGATTAATATTTACCACAATAAAAATATTTATTCACCACAATAAAATATAAAATATGTTCGATTATTTTACTAATTATTTACTATTACATGTACATATTAATATTTTTCCATAATTTTCAGGGTAAATTCTAAGAGAAAATTATGTCCGGATAATAAATTTGCAGTTAATTTTTTCATCTTAAGTTTTTAATAATTTACCCTTATAACTGTAGATATTTGATTGTGCTATACAAAGAATATTACGTTTATTATAAATTTACGTGAAAAGAAATCGTCATCGGCCAGCACTCTCGCGATGGCGACACCGATAATAAAATTTATTGAACAATAACGGCAATAGATTAAAACCTCACCTTGATAACAGCTTCAGAGACGCCACTCTTATTCTTGTCGACATTTTCCTTGTTCTCCAGCTTGAGTTTGTCCTGACTTTTGCGTCGCGGTGGAACAGGTGGCGACGATACTGATACGCTGGATGCATCGATGTTGTCATTTTTTTGGTCGATCTCGCGTTCCGAAATCGGTGTCGTAGGCTGCTCGAAACTCGAGTGAGAACTGCTCGATAACGGGCTAAGGGGGGCTGGAGGTGGTGGCCGATAAGGCGGAGGTTCCCGCAAAGGAGAAACTGGAGTAGCTAGATCAGGAGAGGCGAGAGATCTCTCTCCTACTAGCTGAGGGGATGAAAAGTCTAGAAAGGGTTGCCGATATTTCTTCTTGAGAACCAGATATTTATCGCCCTGTTGAGGAACGTTCACTTTGAGAGCTTCGTCTATAAATGATTTGACAGAAGCGACAGATGCGTCACTAATTAATTTATTAATCGCCGAGGGGTTGGTCACTAGTGGTTATAGTGTACAAAAAATTACCCTTGATATGGATTACCTTTAAATTACCTCAGATTACCGAATACTACCATAGATTACCTAATACTACCTTAGAGTATCTAATACTACCTCAGATTACCTAATACTACTTCAGATTACTTAAGATTACCAAATATTACCTCAAATTATTCAAGATTATCTTAGAATATTTAAGAGAATATTTAATATTTGAGAGTTTGAAATGAGGTGTCTTTTTATATTGTTGGTCTTGTCTTGTGTCATCTTCAATAACTTTTTCAAAAAAACGTGGTTAAAATTGTCAGGAAGGACAATGTCAACGCCTACAGAACGTATTAATTTCTCGCATATTAACGATGAAACTTTTCGAGATTTGATTAAAATCAAAGATCATATCGAGGCGAACATTTGTTGGATATGACGGATTGAAACACGCTTTAACTGCTCATAAATTCTCGACTCTTATTGAAGAAGTAACATTAATTTTCGATATTATGTAGAATTTTTGTATTATTTTGTATTTTTAATAATTACTGTAATATAATACTGAGGAAGACCGCGTGCGGTTGAAACGTTTATTTTATAATAATTGTAATTTTCGCTTAAGTTTGAGTATAGAATATTTGTAGCTTTCACATAATGTTTTATGTTTAGTTTATACATGGAATAAATTTTATTTGACAGAACAACTCTAATAATTGCTCGATAAGTTGGCCTTTTTATCTATCACTAGTTGTATTTACAATATACGAGCGAAACTTTGTATCAATTGATTTAGAATATTTAAAATTACCTCAAATTTTCTAAGATTACCCCAGATTTTTCTAAATATCTTCCATTTATCAATAATGTTCACTAACTTCAAACATTAAAGATTACCTTAGATTACCTCAGATTATTACAGACTATCTTAAGAATACTTAGAATTACCTACAGATTATTTAATATTACCCTTAGATTATTTAAATTTTCTATTAGATTACCCAAGATCAATCAAACTTCCTAATTTTTTAATATTGCATATTTATGTAAGAAACTTATTTTTTCACGTAAACTTTTGATATTTTTCTACAAAGCTAATTTTTCTTTTCGTTCTATTTCTCATTCTAAAATTTAAATAACATGTAGTTTGTTTTATATAGACAAAAATTTAATATCGATATTTTTTAGTTTGTGTGCGAAATTAATATTTTGAATAATATTAATAAGATAATGAAATTTCTAAACGTAATAATTCAAAATTTCATTTAACAAGAGTGACAGATTCGCACAGATATATGTCACTAAGTTAATTATATTATATTAATTGTAAAAAAAAAAAAATAAGATTGCTAAAAATTCAATAAAAATTTCAAAAAATATTACATATTTATGTGAGAATATTTAAAAATAAACACTATATATAACGGCTAATACGAGCTGCAAAAGTTAGGATAAAAATTAATAGTCTTTCTGTATCTTATATACAATTTAATACGGGACGTTTCGGCACATACTTGTGCTTCTTCAGCCACTGAATAATCACTCCTTACATCAAATTATCATTATACAGTATTTGCAATCGTTACACAATCAGATATGTTAATAATTTATTTAACTGAGAACCGTTCAAAGAATGAATACTCCGAGAGCTGTCAACGAAAAATAAATATTGTTTAATCTTGTATGATTGATGTAATTGCCTTTGTTTTGTATTTTATTTGTATTTTCAGCATCATTTGATAAAGACCTAAAACACAGGTCGAAATGTCTTGAATTAAATTAATAAAAAATCTTTTTAGTCCAGTATTGGTCGTTGTTTTACGAATTTAATAAGTTTTAAATATATCATATTATATAAATATTTCCTACGTCTATAGATCGAACACACGACGAAACTAGTCCAAGCAACAACAAAAACAGTGACCTCGTGCGCGAGGAATTTTTCACCTGACCTGCCTCAGCTGATCGCGCGAGATCTGGCAACGTCGCCGCGCGCAACAAGTCGCTTCTGTCAAAGGAACGAAGGGGAATTCGCGAGGGAAGAAGTCCGTTTCACTTACCTCCTCGTTCTTTATGGTGGCCAGGGTGTTGACGTATTCCTTGAAACGATTCCTCGCTTCCACTGTAACACAAAAACACACAGTCCCGTGAGGCTCATGTACTATCGCGTGTGTTTACTCCAAATTCCAGGCGACGCCTCGCGATCGGACAGTCGCTAATATACGGCTCGAGTCGGAAATTTCACCCACCTCGCGTCTCCGGGTCCGTCAGGAACCGCTTGAAATGCTTCACCAAGTCGTGATTGCGCGCGGTACCACCGTTTTCCAATAAATAATTGCGTATCTCCTCAAGGGACAGCTCACCGGGCGTCGCCATCTTGAACGAACTGATGCGTCAGAGCCACGTACGGCTGTCAGTGAAGCGGGCCGTTCGGTCGGTAAAAGCAGTCGCTATCACTACTCGCGCCTATAGAGCGAGGGAAACAAGTATATATATTTTAGAAGGAAACGGTATATCTGAGCAGTGTAGTGTTGTGCTTACAATTAGATGATTTTAAAATTATCTAGATAAAGCTGAGATGAAAATATGTAAATTCATCTAAGATAAAATTATATAGCGATTCATATCTAGATAGCTTCCAGATAATATTATTTTGAAAATTGCTTATGTAAATATATAGTTATAAAAAATGTAAATTATAAAAGAGATCTAAAAATATATTCATATACTTTTATGCATCGCTTATATTGATTTAAGTTTTACTACTTAAATATTTTTATGTATACTTTTTTCATCTAATTGTAAAATGCAGATATATTGTATAGATAATATATATTTTTATTGTCTATATAAAGATAAGATGTCAAAATTTCATTAAGAGATCATCTATATAATTTTACTCTTACAATTAGAATATTTAAATGAGACAGCAAACTGGGTATATTTGAGGAAATATTAGTAGGAAACAATAGGTATACTTTAGGAAATATTCGTTTTAAACGTATAATATTGATTTCTACTCAAAGTCTTTTATTCGTTGCAGTTAATAAAGTTTACCATTGATTTAATAATTAATAGACAAGATTAGGTAGTAACTAGTTAATTAGTTAAAAATTAAATATATACAAAAAAGTAGAAAAGTTAATAACTTTTAATTTAACTTAGTTGGCTTAGTTAGCTTAATTTAAAATAAATTAATTTATAATTTAAACTAGTTATTTTTAAATTTAAACTTATTTACTTTTTCTAAGTTAAACATTTTTTTTCATTTTTGAATGCTATTATTTTTTCTATAAAATCTTAATCATTAGACAATTTAATTTTTGATACTGATTAAATTTTAATAAGAGCACCATTCTATGATGTTTGTCATTCTTACAAGTATGAAATAAATGAAGGATTTATATATTAGTTTTTATTTTTTTTCATAATTGTAATTACAAAGAAAAAACCTACATTTCTATGTAAAGAACAAAATTTTTTGTTATTTCGTGATTTGTTATTTTATATCAATTTAAAGAATTAACAAATAAAATATTAAATTAAATTGTAAGTTATGACATTTTAATTTGATATAAATAATATTTTTGTAAAAATTAACTTTTGGTTTAACTTAAGTTAATTTAATCTTAACTTTAACTGAGTTGTTTTATGCATGCAATTTTTTACATATAACTAAATTAATTTTACAAGCCATTAACTTTAATTTAACTTAGTTAAAAAAAATAATTAACTTACCCATCCCTGATTAATCAATATAGAAATATTTATAAATCAATAAATAATGGATTTTTAAAATTTTCTTCTTTTATGGATTTTTTTTCCATTCACTTTACCATTCATATCACGTTGGATGTATATAAAAAAGATTTTTAATTTGCAAAAATATATTCACCTAGGATAAAGCGCTTGATTGACTAATCAGAACAAAAAGATCCTCGGTCTCCGATTTCTTGATCAAATTCTGCACTTGGACTGATATATTTCTGAGCACAATCTAGAATGCTGACCTCTGATGCACTTTCGCGACTAACGTTCGAGCGCTTATTTCATCGCAAAAATACTTACGAATGTGAATATTAATTAATGTCTTTAATTATCGGCATTAATTATAAATCCGATCGCGTCGCGTGTATCGACATCGTGTGATCGCGATCGCACGCGCAAGATTAACCTCATCGGCCGCGAATCTCGCTCAACATGTTCGTTCTCCCGAAAGCGTGTGACGTACGTGCTTACGTCACAGCTCCGACTCGAGCCGCCAAAAATTTGCGCGCACAACTTCACTTGACTTTTTATTTGTTATTTGTAAGATTATCCATTTATCTTCGCGGTAATAATCCACATTTTATATTGTTGTACAATAACGAATGTGTAAAATATTCTAGATTCTATATTTGGTAATACTTATAGCGAATTTGGTTGGATGCACTTTAGTGCGCACTGAGTGCACATAAAGGTTATTGCACACAATTTTACAATGACATAAGTTTTTAAAAAAGTAAAATAATTAAAAGAAGGGTTATTATTATCATTATTCATATTGAACAACAATAATAATAGCTCTTACTATTAATTATTTTCCTTTTTTTATTACTTGTGTCATTGTGAACTTGTGTGTGATAAGCTTGTATTTAGTGCGCACAAGTGCATCCAATCGAATTCGCTATTAGAATATTTAATAATAAGAGTAATAATTTTTAAGGAATTAAAATATCAAATTAATCAGAATATTAAATATATCACAAATTCATTACTTTGAAATGAATGACTCAAGATAATTTATTGTATATATGTGTTTTTGAATGTGTATCACAATAAAGATTTTTTTCAATGTGCATATGTTATAAACATAAATAAAAAATAAGGAATGTTTAATAGTTATTTTATAATACATTTCAATTCATTTAATAAAACGCGCATTAATGATCAAACTATATCTATTTTTATAATGCTAATTTTATCTTTTCCCCATATTTATTTATGTAAGCTTATGGATAATTTGACTTTAATAAAATTAATTAAAAATAAAATTTAGTTTAATTAAAACAAAGTAAAGTAATATTTAATAAATATTTTATCGCAAAACAATGAATATAATAGATTATTATTTTAAAGATTTAATCAAATGATGTTCATAAATATTAAAATACAAGATTGCTCAAAAAAAGCGTATATATATATATATATATATATATATATATATATATATATATTAAGACTTGTGAATAAGAATTATAATTCATTCCACTGATTAATCATCGCATAAAATTGCAATTTGTTCCTTTATTTATGTACATGTGCACATATTATCTAACAAAAGTGTAATAATAACAAAAAAAAATATTAATAAGAATATTTGTAAGTCAGCTCTCCAATTTTTTTAAAAACTCCATATTCATCTCGACTAAGAGCCAAACGCGATGTTATTGCGACAAATTAAGATAAGAAATTTTTGGAAACTGAGGAATTTGAATCCTATGGTTGGGATCTCAGAAATTCCCCTTGTTCCTTCTCTAAACATCCCACGAACAAGGGGAATTTCTGAGATCCCAACCATAGGATTCAAATTCCTCAGTTTCCAAAAATTTCTTATCTTAATTTGTCGCAATAACATCGCGTTTGGCTCTTAGTCGAGATGAATATAGAGTTTAAAAAAAAAATAGTTATAAATAAAAATTAAAAATCGCGTTAAAGCGAATAATCATCGTTTGCATAAGTATTATTTTTACTTTACTCATACGGCGAGCTCTATTTTCTGTTAATTACACTTTATTGAATAGTGATACTCCAACATTCATAGATAATTGTCGATAAATGTACCGAATGTCATAATATATTTAATAGTCGCGAAAGTATCTATCGATGTTAATGCATCCATATGTGCGATATTTTATTCATCGGCGCAAATAGACGAACGATTCTCAAAGCTTTTCGAAACATTATTTCGTGAATTTTCGTTTTTTGGACGAGTTTTCCTGCCGTTCGTCGAACCGGATTAAATACGCGTATTTTAAACGGCGCCGATACATATTAATGGAACCGGGTCGAGAGTGCATTTCAACATTTTCCCGCCGTAAGCTCTTCTCTGATCGGGATAGGATCAAAACGCGCGACACGCTCTCTCTCTCTCTCTCTTCGTGCGCGAATTTCCTTTTTTTTTTTACCAGACGTTCAGGCGAAATCGTAATCTGTCCCCGTCACGCTGTTTGGCGCCGTCCGAAGCACGCGCCTCTATATTTATTCAACGACCAATTAGTAACCGACGCGATAAATTCTGACATAATTTACGAGAACGCGTGCGATCGTAATTTTCCGGAATACTTTTTAAATTGCTCCGCAAGAGAAAGTAGGAGACGCAAGGAATTCGTGCAAGAAGCTTTCACGAGATCTTTTTACTCTGAAATGCATAATCATTGATCTTAAAAATTATCAAAGAAATGAAGAGCAATTTGTTAAAATATTAGCACAAAGTATTTTATATAGCTTGACAATGTAATTCCGTATTTCTTGTCTAAAAAGAATATCTAAATATAAAAGAAATAATAATCCTTTTTTTGACAAAACTTTAAAAAATGCATTATTTTCTAGATATCTCTCATTTTTTAATATGAGTTAAAATGCACTGCATTAATTTTTTTTTGTGCAAAGTTCTGATAATTCGGTTACAATTAATTTAATTAGATCTAATATTTACATTTTTATAATGAAACATTTAAAGAAAAATTAAAGTTGACATAAAATAAATTTTCTCATAAAGTGTGCTCCGAAAAATTTAATTTGCTCCTTTCATTTTTAAATATGAGTTACAATACGGTGTATTAATTTTTTTTGGTGCAAACGTCTGATAATTTGATTACAATTAATTTAATTAGGTCTAATATTTACATTTTTATAATGAAACATTTGAAGAAGAATTTGGAGTTGACATAAAATTAATTTTCTCATAAAGTGTGTTCCAATAAATTTAATTTGCTCCTTTAATTTTTAAATATGAGTTACAGTACAGTGCATTAATTTTTTTTGGTGCAAAATTCTGATAATTCGATTAAAGAAAAAAAAGAAAGATGTTTATTTTTTTGACAAAGTATAACGGTTTATATCTCATTTACATCAGCCTACGAGTATAAATTTTCTAATAATATATGTAGGGCTGTGTTATACATAGATAAATACATTGTAGCCGTTATTATGTCTCGTTACATTTCACGCATATATTATGATGCGGCTAACGTAAAATTAAAAAAATATCACGATATACATATTCGCTCTCTCTTCCTGTGTGCCCTCCGTATATAAGGGGTTAAAAACTATTACAACGTGAGTGTGTCGTGTATACACCACAAGCTCTTTCTCTCTCGTTAGCTATACAATCACGCGCTTGTAGCAGCGGCGGTTCT